TTGTTGGGGGCAATATGCTGACTCTCTGTAAACCGCTTAGAGAGGCCTGAAGGCCTATGAAGCGGTATATAAGTCTACTGCTATTGCTATTGCTGGGGTTAAGAAACATTGGGCCAAACTCATTTCTGTGATGCTACGAGCATAGGGTCTTCAGACTCACAAAATCTCTGTACAGGTAGTTCTTGACTTACAACAGTTCATTTAGTGACTGTTCAAAGTTACAGTGGCACTGAAAAAAGTGACCTACTGTCATTTTTCATGCAAACATTGCAGAATTTCCATGATCACACAGTATGATCAAAATTCAGATGCTTGGCAACTCATATTTATGATGGTTGCACTGTCCTGGGTGTCATGTGATCATCTTTTGCGACCATCTGACAAGGAAAGTCAATGTGGAAGCCAGTTTCACTTAACAACCATGTTACTAATTCAACAACTGCTGTGATTTGCTTAACAACTGTGGCCAAACAGGTCACAAAATGGGGCAAAACTCACTTAACAAATGTCTCACTTAACAATGGAAATTTTGGTCATAAATTGGGGACTACCTGCATTGAAAATTCCTCTTTGCTTTGCTTTTCCCTTTTTGTGCCGAATCTGCAAAGTTCTTTATAGTGTTTGCATTTAATGAAACAAGAAAACCCATTTTCAATCCAACATTCATCAACACATATGGTGGTCAAGAGCTTCTTTAATCTGTCATCACTACTTAAGCAGGGACAATGGCAGCAATAGCAGTGGTTCAAAATGACCAGCTTGTCTGGCAATTGAAGGTTCCCTTTTTTTAAGCTGTGCTGTGTGCCAGGGATCATTGCTGTGGGGGGTGTTCTGACCTAGGCCTCCCAAGAGCATGAAGCAAACTCCTGGTCCCGAGAAAAACCCTTTTTATTAATTTGCTATGAATTCTTTTCATTCATATCCAGCAAAGTCTTTCAAGGGAGGATTTACAGTCACAGACCTTATCTGGCTTGGAGAGCTGCCAGGCCAATATCTGTAAAACTTGGCAAGGAGTCTCAGAGAGTCACGAATCAATTAATTGTCTCCTGCAAACTCCACTCCCCTTTTTCTCCTCTTTTATTTCCTCTGGGAGGGGCCATTCATTGTCCACTGCCTTACTCCCACATCGACTCCTGTTCTTTAGCTGTTCCCTTCGTCTGGCAACTCTGCACATGCGCACACTGGGAACAGGCTCCAGCTGTTTTTCTGCCTCATTGATGTCTGACTCTGAGGGCATCTGATAACTGGCTTACAGCTCTGTCCCCCTTTGCCTCCGACACAGAGCCCTCATCAGAATCTTCCCCAGACTCCAAGACTGGCCCATGTTCCTCCCCAACCCCCACGCTGTCTGAATCTGTAACAGGGGGTGCTGTCCTTAAATAACACAGCCAGTTTTTCCTTACTTGCAATCCTGGATGATGGTCATGCCAGTATTTCTCAAGATGAAACAACATAGGGGTATAAGCAAGTCAGATATAGAGTATTTTGATAGGTACAGTATAGCTCAGGCCCTTAGTCCAGGTTTCCACGTGCATTTCCACAATCATAGGGGGGGGGGGAATAAAACATATTGAGTTGAGTTCATTCTGGTGACTACTTCAGTACAGTTTTCCTGGCAACAGTACAAATGGTGGACTATTGTCTTAGATATTCTTTCAAGTCATCTACAGTCCTGGAATTTCCGACTGGTCTGCCACCCATTTTACAACTAGGTCTAATCCTGTTTAGCCTCCAAAGCCAATTAGGATTGAAGAGATGCTGCCATCTACTGCGGGTTTCAGAGAAAATACAGTTGAAACGGTCATGAATGTACAATGAAAAATCTGAATCCTTGATTCAAACTAACTTGGCAATCTGTCCAGGTTCTGCCAGGAGGTTGAGAGATGTTGGTGGCTTTTATTGGGGATTTGCTATCCATGTCAGTCCAAAACTTTGTCAATCTTTTGGTTTGCATTTCAGGCAGTGGGCATGTTTCTGGGGGAATTTTCCTGCCTGGCTGTCTTCTACCTCCTGCTCTGCACTGACCGGAGGAGGCCAGAACCCACCATGACACCACCTCAGTCCTTTAACCGATTGCTGTTCTTGCCTCCAGCACTATGTGATATGACAGGGACCAGCCTCATGTATGTGGGTAAGTGTGCATAAAATAGCCATGGCGAGAGCATTTAGACTTATATATCGTTCAATAGTTTTACAGCACTCTCTGAGCAATTTACAAAACATATTGCCCCCAGCAGCCTGGGTCCTCATTTTACCGACCTTGGAAGGATAGTCTACCTTGAGCCAATCAGGATCGAACTTCTGGCTGTGGGCAGGGTTAGCCTGCAATACTGCATTCTAACCACTGTGCCAACATAGCTCCAGTAAAAAAATATCCAGTAAAAAAGTGGGGGAGAGGGAGGTTTGCTAAGAATATGGCACTTTGGAGGAGTTTAGCTCTGGCCTTGAGAAAGAGGAGGGAAAGGAATTGATCAGCCCTGGGAAAGTAGAAAGTGTGAGAAAGAGGTTCAGAATGACACTGCCTTGACCTCGTCCTTAAGAGGGGTCAAGAGGCAAGTGTACAGATTTTCAGATTTGTTTTATTAGAGCCTACAGAAATAAAGTAAAATCTCTAAAGTTTCTCTTATTTGCTGCTTGCCTTTCTCGAAGGGCTGAGAAACATCTTCCTCTCCCTCTGTCCATTTTAAAAATGCAACCATACGGTACTTCCATACAGAAACAGCTGTTTTTAACACAATAGGAAAAGCAAGCCATTCAGAATAAGTAAATAATTTACATCCGACAAAACTGAGTATATAAAGCGTGCCAATTAACAGGGTTAATATAACCACCTACCAAGTCGGGGGAGACAGAATAAAAAGATTCCCCTTATGGAAAGACTCTTTATTCTGGAGTATACAATCCTTTATCATCATTTTTCTTCTCCTGCCTCTGGAGGGGGAAAAACCCCCATCTTGGGCACACCATAACATCTGGAAAGAATTAGGGGCGGGGGGGAACGTAAGCTCTTCTATTTTAAGCATCAGTTCCTAACATCGTAGCCCTATTTCTAATTATTTTTCATCTCGTCCCAGTATTTTTCTAATCATCAGTCTTCCCTCTTTCCCCACTACCCATTTTTGTGATTCCAGCTCTGAACATGACCAGCGCGTCTAGCTTTCAGATGTTGCGTGGAGCTGTGGTCATCTTTACTGGTCTGCTCTCAGTAGCTTTCCTGGGGAGGAAGCTAGTACTGAGCCAATGGCTGGGCATCCTGATCACCATTGTAGGGCTGGTGGTGGTTGGCCTGGCAGATTTGCTGAGCAATCATGATGAAAGCCACAAACTGAGTGAGATCATCACAGGTATGTAAGGAAGGGGTTCTAAAGCCATTGGCTCTGCAGGGGTCCTGGAGAGTGGTTTCCTTTACAGTTCATGCTCTTTATCTTCAGACAGAGATCACAGGCTGACTTTCCTGTCGGATGTCCCCAATATCCAGATATGCTTTCTGATGCTATGCTCTTCTTCCTGAAGCATTGTGATGCTCAGCTTAAAAACATGTCTTCAATCCCAGACATCTTAGTTCAGAAAGCAGTGTCCCCATTGTTTTCTGTTTCAGATTTCATCACTCTGATTCAGTGCAGGAATCCATTCCCCAGAATTTCCAACCTATGGGATAACTAACCAAGAACTACCAATGTTCTTGTCTAGCACATTTGAAGAGCTGTTTGGGGGATATACCGTATATGTTGTAAATAGCATTCCAAAAATAAACCTCTTACCATTTGAATTTATATAATAGGAAAAGATAAAATAAATACCTTATCCAGTATGTTATTAATCATTAACTACAAATGGTCTGTCTAGAGCAGGGGTGTCAAACTCTATTTCATTGAGGGCCGCATCAAGGTTGTGTTTGACCTCAGAGGGCTGGGGTGAGATTGGCCTTGGTGGGGGTGACACGGGACTCATGCTGGGGGGCACTTGTGGTGGCCAAGTGCTAAACAGCACTTCCCTGAGACCCTCCCTCACTCTATTATAATTTCTTTCCCTCCTTTTCTTCTTTTCCCTTCCCTCTTCATTCTCCTTTCTTCTTCCTTCCCCTTTCCTTATTGTTTCTTCCTTGCTCTCTACTCCATCTTTCCTTCTTTGTCTTTCCTCTTTCCCATTCCCCTTTTCTGTCCCTTCTTGCATGCTCAAATGCAAAAGGGGAAACATTTCTTCTTTTGTTTTGTTTTTAGTTTGTTTTGGTAACCCTCTGCCAGCAAAAATGGAGCGGGGTGGGGAGCATGTGGCCTCCCCGAGCTCTGTTTTTGCTGGCAGAGGGCTGCAGGAGGCCATCGCAGCTGAAAACGGTGCGGGGGGGGGGCACACACAGCTCCTCCCCTCCCCCCAAGCTGCATTTTCGCTGCTAGAGGCACTGTGAACTGGTCCTTTGCTGTTTCCAGGCAGGCCCCATTGGTCAAATCTAAGCACCTTGCCAGTCGAATCCAGCCCGTGGGCCTGGTCTAGAGTAAAAGAGCATTCATGAAGTTCCAAAATAGATTTTAATGAGATTTCCAGGGAGTAAGCCATCCTCTCCTGGATGAGCTGGATGAAGCTGGATGAGCTGCATCCATATAGTTGATTTTAACAAAGGTACAATCTCTAAAGGATCAGTGCTATAGTATGACAGCTATTTAAAGCATGGAGCTCTCTGGTGAAATGGACTGGCAAGGAGCTCAGGAACAATTTCTGCCTTCAATTCACAATTAGAGCATTCTATGTCACACATGATTGCAACTGGCTTAGATTATTTATATTAAACAAGTAATGGTATAATGGCTATTTACTATTAAGCTTATAAATAAATGGAATCTAAGTAGTTTATTTTATAATTTGCATTTCTATTAAATTAAGTGGCTTTCATAAAACTAATCAACAATGTAATAAAAAATAAAATTGTTTGTGGAGAAAAAGAAGCATAGGGCATCTATCTCCATACATAATGGAATAAATGGCCATTTCACACAGATTTGACAGAGTAAATAAGTGGTTGAAGGAGTGTATGCCTGATGGAATGCTCAGCTTCTTGCTTCTCCATAGGTGACCTTCTCATCATTATGGCCCAAGTTATTGTGGCCATTCAGATGGTGCTGGAGGAGAAGTTTATCTACAAGCACAATGTTCACCCTCTGCAGGCGGTTGGCACTGAAGGTATGTAAGCAATCTTGAGAATGTTCACAGATGGAGTCTGGGTTCACATTGATTAACAGCTACCATCTCAGACAAAATGGAAATATGATTTCTAATATGATTTGCTGCTAATTTGGGTAGCTTCTATGTTCTTTGAAGACCATTATGAGCAGTCGTGAATTAATGGCTGAAAGAATGTTCCCCAAAAGATTATTTCTATGTCCTCGGTTTACAAGGCATGGCATAATTCTACAGTTCCTAAAATGACCCTTTTCTTCCTTTCTTACTTGGGGAAAAAATATCCCCTTCTTTCAGCAGTCACTTTCACTTTTCTTGAGGTTTTATAACAGCTGTGTAGGGGCTACAGGTTCCAGAATAACCAGACAGCAAAGCTGAGTATATTGAGGGTAATAAACTCAACATATCTAGAAACTGGCAGGTTGGAGAAGGCAGTTTTGTAACTTCTGGAAGTATTTTACATTGAATGTCTCCTGGAGATTCAGCAGGTAACTGTTGTGGCTCAGCAGGAGCCGTTGGAGCTGCCACCAGACTCCGACAGCGAGGGGCCCTATGAGTCGGCCCTGGAGGATGTGGA